ATATATATATATACAGATTTCAATTTCAATTTCAATATCATCATGGCTATTAAACTACATAGTAAAAGTTAGATATTATGTGTTCAAGGTTAGAAGATACAGCAACAGTTTTTTTTTCCTCATTGAGTTTATTGGTACATTTTAGGTATATGGTACAGTTACACTCATTATTGGGATCTTGTACCTCTACGTGACAGGTCTTGGTTCTCATTTTTTCCCCTTGTCCCTGCTCTCCCTTCACCCCTCCCCCCTCCCTCTTTACAAACACTTCAATTCCATTTTTTCATTTTCTCATATTTTTCCCCTTATTAGCTTTCCTCTGCCCTTCCCACTTTCCCTACACCTTTAGCCCCTATCTTCCTACTTCACATTGTCAATTATCTCATTAGGATCTTATGTACTATTATAGTTTATTCACACCAGAGAAACTATTCGGTATTTACACATGTGACTTATTTATTTCACTTAGGAGTATATCCTCAATATGTATCAACTTACCTATGAATGAATCTAATTTCTCATTCTTTATGGCTGAGTAATATTTCATTTTAAACCAGAAACACTAAACTTGCTGGAAGATAAATAGGCAGAACTCTTGAAGACATTGGCATAGGAAAAGATTTTATGAACAAATCCTCAGTAGCGTGGGAACTAGCAGAAATAATCAACAACTGGGATCTCATCTTATTTAAAAGCTTCTGCACTGCAAAAGAAACCATCAACAGAACTAAGAGACAACCTACAACGTGGGAAAAAATTTTTACCAGCTGCTCCTCAGACAAAGGACTATTATCTAGAATATATAAAAAACTCAAAATAATCAGCTCCCCCAAATATAAAGACCCAATTCTAAAGTGGGCATCTGAAATGAACAGACATTTCTCAAAGAAGTAAAAACAGCAAGTAAATATAGGAAAAAATGTTCCACATCACTGGTCATTCGAGAGATGCAGATGAAAACAACACTGAGATTCCACCTCACCCCACAAAGAATGGCTGCTGTCAAGAAATCACACAATAACAAATGTTGGCGGCGTTGTGGGGAGAAAGGAACCCTTCTCCATTGTTGGTGGAGTGCAGACTGGTGCAACCACTATGGAAATCAATATGGAGATACCTCAAAGAGCTGGGACTAGAGGTTCCATTTGACTCAGCCATCCCTCTGCTGAGGATCTTTCCAAAAGAATTAAAAGAATCATCTCACAGAGATATATGCGCACCTATGTTTATAGCGGCACAGTTTGTAATAGCTAAAACTTGGAAACAGCCCATTTGCCCATCAGTTGGAAGCTGGATAAAGAAGATGTGGTTTTACAGCAACAGTTTTTGAAATTCATTGTTAATATTAACAAGGACAGGTTTTATATTATAGAATAATACAAGATATGACCAAAATGTATAGTGAATATTTACATTTATAAAACTTATTGCATTGAGATACATTGCCATTATCCCTCTCAAAATATACCTCCTTGCTTCAAATTCAGTATACTTCTTGCCACTTTCTAAAGAAGTTCTAGAAGTCCTCTTTCATGAGTGTTTTCATGAGGTGTGATAAAAAATCTGATAAATGCCATCCAATGGAAAGATAGGCTCATAAAAAGATCGTGGTATGCCTTCATCTACCTTGTTCACTGGATTTGGCACCATGAGACTCTTGGTTCTTTTTCAAACTCAAAATGACCACAAAAGATAAATGCTTTGAATCAGTTCAGGACATAGAGACAGCCACAACAGAACAATGAAGGATACTTACAGAACTGTTTCAGAAATGACAAGAATAATGGGCTAAGTGTGCTTAGCAAAGGAGACTGTTTGGAGGGGGTTAATGATGATGTGTCATTTATTGTAATACTTTTTAAAATTTTAAACATTCACTGTATTTTTTAAGTCATACCTCATATACGCTTATCTGAAGTGGAAAAAAATGTTTCCTTGTTTTCTTGATGTCACCGTTTTCTCCTCAGAGGAAGTCATTTCATTTTTAACTCAGTCATGAAGATAAAATCTTAAAGGACTGAGATTAAATATAAAAAATAAGATTTTTGTTTTAACAAATGGTAATGCTTGTATGAAGCATGTAAGTTTTCATATCTGTGCTATAAAGCGCTATACATGTAACTCTGTAATATAATTTAAGCAGTCATTAATCTAAAATAGTACAGATGTCAAAGAACTAACAAGGTCACCAGGCACCATTCTCTTCCAGAGTGGCCCACCAGGTCAGACCATCCTCCCTGGGCCAGCTCCTCTTCAAACACCATGAGTTCTCCGTTACTTGCCACAGTGATTCAGTGACAAATATCACTTCCACAGAGCAACAATGAGGTAAGATGTAAATTTCCATTATGTTACACCATTTATTTAGACAATGCTTGACTGGTTAACCCTTAATGGCAGCTCACAGACAATAGATGTTGGGTATCACAGGATATTAATTCTGGTACAATGAACCACAGGTAACCAACCTATTCTCTGGTAGTTCCTAATGATTGACTAGGTCAGACCTCAGTTTCTTCTTGGATAAATCCTAGACTTTTCTGGAGTCTAGTTCACTGACTTATCTTGCCCAAGTCTCAACCTGTCCACTAAGTGCAGGCTTCCAAGCTACATCTTAAGCAGTTTTCCCTTGTCTTCACTTCCATTTCTAGGTCTCCAAGAGAAGTCCTGAATACAAGAAAATACCGAAATGAAGGTTATCGGAGTAGAATACCATCCAGACACAGCCTTGGCCTATCAAGATTCATACATAGAAGGAATCTAGACTTTCAAGGTATGATAGGGTGAATAGCTTCTAAAATGCAGATAGTAAATATTAGAATTTAAAACATGGATAAGAGAGCGAAGTGGGATAAGATTTAGATAAATATCAAGCAACCAACACCAAAAATAAAAAAGGGAAGGAGAGAAGAAATAGTGAGGATTGGAAATAGGTAGAAAAAGAAGAAAAGAAGCAACAGAGAGGGAAGAGTAAGGATTTATAAAAAGAGCAGATGCAGGGAAAAACGAAGAATGGTGGAAAGAGCTGAAAGTTAAGCAGGAATATACTAACCAGATTTGATAAGTATTTGAAAGTGGAGGGATCTGATACATAAGAAAAGTACCATAGAGATTAAACATGAACATAATTACTTTCTAAAAGTTACAGTAGTAAGATATAAGCATGATAATTATAAATCCTTCTCTGAAGATGGAAAGAGAAAAGGATTTACCCCTGGAGGCAAAGGAGTGGATGAAAGTTTTCTGAAAGTCTGTTCCAGAAAGGCTGGATTTGATCCCACTCAGAGACTCCCTTTCTAACAGAGATGGTTGGACTTCTTCCTGCCCAGTGTGCATATCCTTCAATTCCAAATGCAGAGGAAAAACAGTCACCTGTTAAGAAAGCATGTGAGAACTACAACCATGCCCCAACTCCCTCATGCACAGCATAGGTGGTTAATGCAACAGCAGCAACTGCTTGTGGGGGAGTCTGGGAAAAGGTGGATGACTGGGAAGTCATGCATGATTGTCTTCAGAAATGTGTAAACAATTCTCACTTAGGCACAATGCTGAGAAATTTTTCTTTTTTTCTTTATTTATTTTTTGGGGGTACCGGGTATCAAACTCAGGAACTTGCACTTGCGAGGCAGGCGGTGACACCACTGAGATAAATCCCCAGCCCAAGAATGTTTTTATTTATACTGTAATGACATTCATCTAAATTAGGTATACAAAGATTGGGCATATTTTCTCTAGAAAAATAAACCTTCAAATATCTCTCAAGTGTATACGTAGTACAATCTTCTATAAACCAATATCTTATACAAGCAAATAGCCCTCAAATATTCCATTCCTAAAATTTTAAAATCTTTCCTCATTTGACAAGGTCCTTATCCACAGGTATTTTATTTTTTTCACCTTTGAACACATGCTGGTTATCGGCTAATCTTTCAACGTTGAGGGCACTGGAATAGATGCAGTATTTCACTGAAGGCCTGACCAAACCAAAGGAAATGTAGCCATCCCTTCCTTAATTTTAATGTTGTGATTCTATGTACACATCCTGTGGTGTCCATGGCATTTGCACTCCTACATCACACTGCCAGTTTACTAGACTGTACTGAGTTCCAGAACATGTATTGCCACACATCCACCATGTTTTATCATTGGGTTTCTATGCCCGCCTGAGTAACTTGTATTACCTTACATCTCTCTCTTGTGTCTTTCCTGTCCTTCCTCCTCAAGTGGGCCCCAGATGGTGGACCTATGGAACAGCAGCATGGTGACAGAGTTCATCCTTGTGGGCTTTGAGAAGAGCCCCCCTGCCACTCGGGCATTGCTCTTCACTCTCTTCCTAGTGCTCTACAGCCTTGCCATGGCCATGAATGGCCTCGTCGTCTTCATCACATGGACAGACCCCAGGCTTAGCAGCCCTATGTACTTCTTCCTTGGCCACCTTGCTTTCCTGGATGTCTGCTTCATCACCACCACCATCCCACAGATGCTGATCCACCTGGTAGTCAAGAACCATACTGTCTCCTTGGTCTCTTGTATGACCCAGATGTACTTGGTCTTCTTTGTGGGTGTGGCTGAGTGCATCCTCTTGGCTTTCATGGCCTATGACCGTTATGCTGCTATCTGTTACCCACTTAGCTATGCCCAGTTCATGAGCAGACAGGTCTGTGTAAGGCTAGTGGCTATTGCCTGGATCTTTGGGTTGATCAATGGCATATTTCTTGAGTATATATCATTCCGGAATCCCTTCTGCAGAGAGAATCACGTAGAAAACTTCTTCTGTGAGGCTCCCATAGTGATCGCCTTGTCCTGTGGGGACCCCCGGTTTAGCATGAAATTGATTTTTGTTGATGCTATTGTGGTGCTGCTCAGTCCCATGGTCCTCATTATCACCTCCTATGCCCGCATCCTGGCCTCCATCCTTGGCACAACCTCCTCCTCAGGTCGGGGCAAGACCTTCTCAACTTGTGCCTCCCACCTAACCGTGGTCATCTTTTTGTACACCTCAGCTATGTTTTCTTACATGAATCCCCGAAGCACACATGGGCCAGACAAAGACAAGCCTTTCTCCCTCCTCTATACCATCATCACCCCCATGTGCAACCCCATTATCTACAGTTTGCGCAATAAGGAAATGAAGGGGGCTATGGTGCGGGCCTTTAGGAGAACCAATCTGGCCCAGGCAGAGTCTGTCTAGCCAGAAGGCCCCTGGGAAAGAACCTCCCTCACCTGGAATGGGAAACATTTACTCCTTCTTGACAATGCTGAAAACCTCCAGGAACAAAGGATTCATGGCTTTCTTGGCACAAGACTCAGACTTAGGCACTTCTCATTTCTAAGGCACAGCTTTCTGACTCATTTCCAGTACTGTTTTGTCTTAGATCTTCCTCAAGAGAATTTGAGACTTTCCTGATTTTTTTCCTCTGTTTTACAAGAGTCAATAAATTAGTGCACTTAATTATATTTTTGTTTAATACTTTCATATGCCATTCCCTAGCCTGAATTTTGCATATACATTTAGGAGTAAATCTCTCTCCTGCTCGCTTGCTCTGTCTTTCTGACATCCTAGTGTCAACTCCTACATCTGCCCTCACCCACGCCACTCCTATACAGAAAAAGTATTTGAAGAAGTAACAAAAAGGGACTAGGGATAGGGCTAGTGCTGGCATCAAATCACAGAAAAGAAAGCAAGGGTCAGCCACTTGAACGTTGTGTTTCAACCCCCACCAGTCAGTGAAGGAGAATTTGTTGTGTCTCTAAATAACAAAGCTGCACTCAATGTATCTGTGCTTACGGGTTGTGGGAGAGGGGTGAGTGGGAGAGGTCACTGTGTTCAACTTCTCCTAAATCTTTTCTTTAGTAAGATAACTGACTGACGTTTCCCTTCCCATCCAAGTAGTAAGAGATCCTATAAAGCTTGTAAAGCTACAAGTTTCCTTCCCTATTATGCTCCCTCCCCCTCATTGCCTTTCTTTTTCTCTTCCATTTTTCATTCATTCCTACTCAAAACTGTTCTACCTGACCTCCTCATCTTAATATCCACTGCATTTTCTGTCCTTTAAGGAACCCTTCTCCACACCCTTTGCACCATTACAGAAGTCGTTTTATTTTCAACCCTATATCCTCTCTGGCTTCCTCTAGCTTCTTTCTTTCACCAAACCTTGTTTTCTTTGACAGAGCTGTACATTTTCAGCAGTTCCTTTTCTTTGGAAACTACATTTTTCTCATGCTTGTTTCATAATAAATAAGGAAGACAGAGGAATGAGCTATTCTTTGTTTTCCAGTGCTACTATCAGAATATCAACACTGAAGGGGAAAACAGAGGACATTTTCCCCTGACTTGTGACCCTTTCCCACATTTTCTGTGCCCCATAATTATGAAGCCCAATAAATCCATTTACTGTACTGATCAAGGGGCTTTCACCCTTTTAAGTACAAAACTTTGCACAAATGCCAGACAGATCAGTGACTACAAACTAAAAGACACAACTCTGAGTATAACAGACTCTTAATTTCCTCGTTCCCTTTAACACCTTATAAAGAGAGAGATACTTTTGACATTTCAGAACCAATGATCCCTCTCAGGTCCTTATCTTAAATGAAACTTGTCTTTGCTGCAAGTTTTTCTTCCTCTCTCCTTTTATTTCTTACAAACACACTTTGAGATATCCTTAAATAGATGTACTACCCTTTCTACAAGGTGTACATCACATATTACCCTGTGCAATGACTTAAAGAAGTAGCTTTACTCCACAAAACTCTATAATCTTTTGAGTACAAATTGGTAAATCTTTAGAAAAATCAAAGAATGTGAGAAACTTTTCTTAGCAAGGAGGAAGAAATGAGACATCACTGCTATGAAGAAGAAACAATAAACACAAAACTTAAGTTTCTATTGTAAAAAAAAAAATTGTACCAAAGTTAAACAGACAAGAAAATCTTTAAGACTACTGTAATAGGAGCTGGACTCAACTCCCCTGAAGTAAGGGGCTGTGAGATTTTTAAGAGCTGACTTGTGTTTGCTAATCAGTCCAACCTAATGGAAAAATAAACTTCTTGTCTCTTCAAGACAAGCAATAGTTTTGCAATTTGAAACAAGGGTCCTAACAAAGTTAGATATCTACCCCTATCCTCAGAGACTGAGAGATAGGGAGTTAAGCAAGTAGTTAGATGTCGCGAGCCGGCGATGCAGAGCACTGTCCAGCGGTGCCTCAAACCTGAAAGAGCAGTGGGGTGGAGATGGGGCAGAGAGAAAGGAAGGACGCCAAGACAAGAGTCTGATCAAGGCGACGTTTATTGCCGGCAAGCATCAGCCTTTTAAAGCAAAAAAACCACAAACTATTATGGGATGGGGTTACCATAGTAAATGAAAGTTCACACAGGAAAAGAGCAAACAGGCTCAACAAAAACAACCACCGTGGGTAGTAGTAACCCAGACAACCACACATCTGAAGGTCAGAGACAAGAAACTGCAACTTTCAGGAATTCCACAAAGGAAACACACCACCTGCTAAACTGGAGAAACTTAACAAACATGGAGTTACTAAAGTTAACAATACTTACAACTAATACTCATGATTCCCACAGTTAGACATTAATGAGACTGAGGGACAAAAAGAGTGTAGGTGTCCAAAGTAATATGTAATATGCATTGCCAGTTAAAGAAAGACTTCAATGTGTGTGTGTGTGTGTGTGT